ACACCAAAAGTCGTAGCAATCAATATGAATGAGCTGAATGTTTTACGAATTTTTGAAATAGCGCAAAAATTTTGGAAAGCGTTAGATGCCAAAAAACGTACAAAAGAATAGTTTGAACGCTGTGAAGCATTCACACTATAATTATATTTACTGCAGGCAAACTGAGTTAAAACGTGATGATTTCTTCTGTCCTAGCTTAACGCGCTTTAGACTTCAWACTCCCAGTTTAACACGCTGCACGTGCCATTTCCCAGTTTGTGTGCATCATTGTCTGCAGGGACGGCAAATAGCCTGCAGATGATGGGCAGAATAATTCCAGCTAATAAAAGGAGCTGATGCTGGGTTGTCAGGACAACAGCTGTGAGACAGACAGGACCAAATGAACGGTCATGGACGGTGAAGCACCAAGGCAGCATTCATTAAGGCCCAGGAGTGTGTGGCAGATGCAGTCCCACGTCTAATTGACATAATGGAGAAGTGGTTGTAAATCTTTTTCTTTTYTTTTTTTTTGGAGAATACGTGCATAAATATTTTATTTAGCACTTGAAATTTATTTAGACGCATCAGATTTTGCTGTTTGCATTTTTTTAACGTTCTGTAAGCTTTTTATCAATCATGAAGGATTTGTGAAACAGTTTACATGGTGCATATGTTTTTATCAGCTTGTAGAAATACTRTTAGAATTACAATCAGCATTTTAGTGCTCTGTTCAATATTTAGAGCCTGTAATGAATAATTTAAAAATAGACCTGAAGATTTATGTCCTACATCCTTGGTTGTGTAAAAACTGCTCATCAGAATAGCTAAAAAAAATATTTGCATGAAAATAAAACTGCTTGTATATCAAGTTAAATCTAAATAAAAATTAAAAACCTTGTAGTCACAGCAGTGTGTATTTATAAATATAGATTTTTTATAGGAACTCGAGTGAAAAATTAACTGAAGTTTATCAAAAAAACAAAATAAACAGACAATACTTAAAATCTACTACCCAAAAATATTCAAGAATCGTCCTGATGCGTCTCAGTAATCCAGGTAGAAAAAAACATAAGTATGACCCTGTAGAGGGGTTCTTCTTAAATTAAATGTTTTGTCTCTCCTCTTTATTGAAGAAGAGTAAAGATGAAATGCTTCATTAAAGAAGCCGTCCAGAGGACCTACTTAATTTTTTTGATATTCAAGTATTGTTTACAGAAAGAGAATGAAGACAAGGTGAGATATGAAGTTAAAAAAATTAGAACAACAATAAAGAGTATGTTTTTATCTGTGGAGTGACTGTGGAACTTTAAGGCTCAAGAAATAAAGCCATGTACTAGTATAAATATACCCAAAAACAGGTACAAAAAAATCTAAATGGTTGTGGAAGATAAC